ATTATTATGAATGGCAGTTAGATGTTTTGGACTTCAGCTCCCAGTCATCATGGCCCATATGGCCCAGAACAATAGAATATATCTGGAAGGCACCAGATGATGCTAACCTAGATTTAAGGCTTTTAGTTAGGAGCACCAATTTTGAACCCCACGTGTGGGCAATGGTAAAATTACATACAACTGCAAAGGTTTAAGCCCCCCTCTTCAAATAATGCATTTCAATGAGGTGAAGAGGATACATAAAGATTACCATTTTTCTGCAAATTTGAATGCGCACTTAAAACACAGTTCTTTACATATTCAAAATAAAACAGTAAAATAGGGCAAATCAAATGTTTGGACTCTTTGGACTGTCAATGCCCAGAGTTGTTGAGAGCCAGGCAGCATATAAGTTTAATAAATTACATCTATGACAGAAATAATAGCTGCCATGTTTCCTGTAGCCAGCTAGGAATCTCTTCTTGTGCAATTTTTCCCATACTCCTCCGCAGAAGTCTTCCAGCTCAAAAATATTAGGCCTTCATCCATACACTGCGTGTTTGAGATCTCCCACAGATTTTTCAACAATATTCATCTGAGGATTGCAAAGGCCATTCCAAAACTTTTTTTTCCTGTGAGGACATAATGGTTTGAAGATCACTGTCTTGCTGAAATAATCTCTTTCCAACATCCTCATATGAGTACTATTGATAATTATTTGTGAGAATACTACTTGGGCTTAATGTACACATTTTTCTCTTCTCCTTTGCATTTCAAGTCTGCCTTAGGCATACAAAATCAATTTTATTGATTCCATTTCCTTAATTTGTATAAACAATCCATGTTCCTCTTGTGGCATCTTAATAGCTGAAATAGCAGCCTTGAGTTCTTGGCAGACAAAACACTTAGCATTCTTGGCAATGTACAATTAAAACATACTATACAACAAACTGAGGTAGTTTAAATCTTTTCTTATACATGAAAATTACTACTTAACGATAGATAACTAAACACGTCTAAGCATAAAGATGCCACAATTATAGACAGAGTACACATGGTTAGGGAGCGAATCTGATTACAATTAACTTTTATTTTGTTAATTGGATGAGTGTGTATATGCACAAAGCAGAAGCGTCTTATGTTTAACCATCCTTTTGAAGGTGGTACAACTGTTAGAATTTTTAATTACATAGGAAGCATGTACTTTATTCTTACATATATAAATAAAAGGTATATGCAATGTTTTCCAAACGGATTTCCAGTCACTGAATGAGAATTCACCTCACTGTTTTGTCCTGTCCCCAGTTCTATATCCCCTAGCATGCTGGAGCCAATCAGGGATGCAGAAGGGAACTGTTTGGGTGGCCAAGGCCAAGAACATCGCTGGATACAACCCAGATCTTTTTGACAAGAGTGTTACAAACTTGACAATAAATCATATCTTGGGCTGCAGAAAAATATCCACAAATCCAAGGGCATTCAGAACAATGTCACATGAGAAGTTACACATATTTTTAATAATCTTGCCAAGTGTTCCAGACAGTTTAATGTATAGCACAAAGGAGCCTGTTGTCAAAACAACAGAAGTTAAAAATATTCCTTGCATGAAACAGCTCTTTAAAGTGTCCAAAATGGTTATCTGGATCTCATGACAGTAAAACTGGAACTCCTATTCTTATGAAGAATGTCATGGGATAAATTTATGAATTCTAAACTGCTTTACTCAAGGATGCATACTAGATGTTGTGATTTGACTGACAGTACAGTGTGGCACAAAATTATGGAAGGTATTTATAATACCAGATTTTAACATTACTAGTTTTAAAGACTTCTATGTGAAATATAGTGCTTGAGTTGGCTTAATACGACTTTTTCAGGATAGTAAATCTGCTTTTAATCATTAGCCTTCAAAATGTGCTTATACCACACAACAGTGTATTTGAAAACATATTTCAAAGTCTATTTTAGCAATTTGCCACTGGAGAAAAGCTACAGTTGTAATTACAGCCAGGAGCATTTAGGTAGTAATTTTTTTTTTACTCATCCACGTTGCCAAAGAATAAGCCAGGTCTCAGACTTTCAAAAAAGTATTACTAGCATATAAATAAACAGCTTAAATTGTAGCAGCTGAAAATGTGTGCTCTTAACCTTGATTAAAGTGTCACGATACAAATAATATTGATCTGAGTATGCATGAAATGTTTATTTTTAATTACTCTGTTAGTGCAATTTTTGATAAAAGTTGTTGTTTGTGGTTTTTGTCCAGAAAAACCAATAAGCTATTCTGAAGCTTAAGGCTTTGTCATTTTGTAGCAACTGGAGGATATATAGCTGAAAGGACACCACTATCTTTCAAGACTAGAAAAGTCTGGCCCCCCTTTGGTATAATTTCCAGAAATTTCTGCTCCACTGAAGTCAAATCCAGGGTTCTGCAAGAGAAGGCATAACATTTTATTGATACTCTTGCTGATTATACCTATTAGGATATATTTAAAATTAATCATTTTAAAAACTAAGAATGCACAGCATTCTGTTCTGTACTCTTCTTAACAATTTCCAAAAATTTACTGTATTAACACCTGAAAAACATAAATAACTTCACATTGCCTCTAAAGAATTTATTGTTATTTATTTCATAATATTTGTAACCTGCACCAATTTGAATGCCACTTCTATTTCTTGCATCTTCCCCTCATTCTTCTTTTAAATAAAGCTAAATGTAAAAACAGCCAGCTGTGCTCTAGCATCATTAATACATAACACATTTGAAAGCCAAAACAAAATTCAGAATATATTTAAAGTACATTCCATGAGTCTTGGTCCCTGGTAAGTGAATATAGTACTACAGAGCCAATATGGTGATTATTTTCTGATACAGATAGTCTATAAATATAATATATTCCAATTAATTCTGGATTACTGTTTATAAAGCATTGCCTACAATACAGGCATTTTACTAGGTGGATAATATCTGTTGACTTGCCTCTCTCTGGAACCTTTCCAGTGTAAGCTTCCTTTGCATTTGGTCTTGGACCCAAGGATCAGCAGCATACTCATTCTCCAGCAGGGAACTCCAACAGTTGCCAGCATCACGGTTGGTTTTTGTCAAGGTGATTCGTATCAATTTCTGGTCCTCTTTTCAAGAGAAAGAACACTGGATTTATTCACAATTATCTTTGGAACAATTCTTATTTGGAAGAAGACGACGATTAGCAGCAAGGTGGATGGACTCAATGAAAAAGAGAATTGAGGTCTCAATTAAAAGGTCTTCTAGCAGTGTACTCAAGGACAAGGTTGAAAACAAATTGTCCTGGAGAAAATTTATCTATGTGATCACTAAGAGTCAGCACTGATTTGATGGCATATAATCATAATCCTCGTATTTGGGACTGTAAGAAAGTGGAACACAAATTATTGTGGACCATCCCCATCTGACTTCCAGATGGAAAGGACAGGGTCTAATGATATTCCACTGAGATCAACCCAATACAACCATTGGGGTATAGTCCTGTTTTCTGTTACAGCTGAAAAGAAGGGTGGATGCTTGTACTAACTATGCTAAATTTCAGATGCTCAGAAAGCAGAAAGAAGGTTCAGGAATTTCCAAGATGGTCAGTGCAACATGGGGAAGAACTGCCATTCTTCTAGGCTTCTGAATTCAATGTGGCATTTAAGTAACCCTCAAACTTTGCTGAGTATAGGAGGACAAGAGAAAGGCTGTTTTTTGTTTTCATATAGTGGATATAACAAAATATTCACCAGTGTATTCTGCGGAGCCTTATATATTACATGAACATCATGAATACAAACCTTCCCTGTTAGGGCTATTTCTCTTTTTCTTGCATCTATGCATGTACTGGCATTACAATAAATCTTTTAAGGTTTTTAAGAGATCAGTGCTGTCCTGTCACATCCCCATATCTCTTTTCTTCAATGCTCCATCAAATTAGAAGAAATCTGAACATATCTTAACCCAAGATAGCTGAAGTATTTCCATGGAACTCAGCAGACTCATTTTTCCCTCCACTTCTATTCCCAAAGCAGTATATGAGAATGGAGGTCTATGCAGCTCCCTCACCCTTAAGAAGCTTTCCTTTTATTTTAAAAAGTGTGGAGGGAGAGAAAGGGGAAAACAGTAGCCAAAATTACATTTCATGTGTTCCTGCAAAATAATGACCAAATCCCATGTGATTTTTTTAAACAATGAAACAAAATCCATGCTAGTAGAAAGAAAGTCCACAATGAAACTAAATTGTTATGTAAAGTCCTCTGAAGCACAGGTCTTACCTAGTGTCCAGGTTGCCTCGTCAGCTATTGTGGAATCAAATAGATTACCCTGAAAAAAAAATATTTTTTTTAAAATACAGTACAGGAACAAACTCTGTGTTTCAAAAGCAAATAGGTTTATAATAAATGAACTTCTCAAATTGGTCACAGCAGCACTGTAGTTTTGCATATGTTTGTAAAATTTACTAAATAAATGTTAGATTTAGCAGATCATCAAAAAGGTCAGCTTGCTTGGTAGTAAAATTATTGCATAAGAGGAGTTCACATTTTTGATAGATTTTGCCATTTTAATTATGAGACCTTTAAGATCATGATATACTAATACCACAATTCCAAGCTTAATTATGGCCATTTGTTTTTCTTGCATTTGAACTCCATTCTGCTAAAATGGCAGGATTTAATTCCAAATTGCATCCCCTTTGGAAAGAAATGATTAAGTAGCCAACTGCTTAGTAACACCTAATGAATACAAAAAAAAAAAAAAAAAAAATGGTAATAGGGTTGCTCTTTGCAGAGCCATGATTCCAAAGATGGAGATGAGGAAGAATGAATCAACATCAGCAAACAACATATATATTTGGGAAATAGTCACAAGGGGGACAGATTATCCCAATGTAAAAGCAAACTTAAGAACAAAAACATAATACTCCTTTTTAACTTTAAGGCAAACACTTGGTGCTGAAAATAAATTCCAAAGCTGTCCAGCTTATGAGAAAATCAGGTTGTAACTTAGATAAGCAAAAGAAAAATACTAAAAATATATATAGAAAAAAGGCAAGATAAAAATATAATAATTTTATTAATAAAAACAATAACATATTTCTACACAGAAGATCCTGAAAAACATATTTGCTCTGCTTCAAGTACCTGTATTTCCAATCTTTAATCAAAGGCTGTGGGGACGGTGGTCCCATGTTCTTCCCAGCTTTAGACTTTCAAAAAGTTCTGCCAAATTCTCTCCTTTGTTTTAAAGTAACCAACCCTTTTCTATCTGTAGCCTTTATGTATGTTATAGGGATCCATCTGCCCTTATGGGATGTTTACTGATTACATAGGTATATAGGCTGTAGTCTCTTGTGGAGATGTGGACTGTGAACATCTAAAGTTGGCAAGGCAAGCAAGCTATACTCACAATAGCACAGATGTTATACTTTAATCAGCTTCTCAAGATAGACTGGCATCCAAAAGGAGTATACAACATAAACATTTATTACTCTTTTGACTGTACATTATTCCTGGCTTTACTGATGGTTTTCTTTATTTCTAGATGGCAAGCTAGAAATCTGCATGTCTGCCTAAGATAGGAGACAAATATGAGACTCAGAAGCTTTTATATGAAGTACTCAGGAAGAGAGTGAAACAATTAGCCACTCTGTTCCAGAATTCTAGATATAACCTGCTACCTAAAATATTTATTACTAATCAATGCATCCAGTCCACAAGTTCCATTGAGATAATAAATAATGCATAGCAATTTTCATTGTCATAATGCCTACAGTAATAGTTCCAAAACTTCATCTCCTGAAGTACCATCTCTCCCTGGAAAGAATTCTAGAAAATGGAAAAGGTTGCACATTCTTCTATGCCATTTTGGCTGGACTAATAAAGATATTACACAATTGTGGATTTTATATTATTTATTCCCAGGTTTTTCAATGTGAAAAATATGTACAGTACTAGAATAAAGGTGGTAAGTACATTGGACTGAATACCATAAATGCTCTCTGTTGGAAAGCAAGCGAACAAACATATGAAACAGCCACAGTGTGGTTGATAGTATTTTCATGAAGTTGATAGTTTCATTCAGCTGGATGACAATATGTCTGTAGTTTCTATACATTTCAAGAATTTCTACTCATTTGTAAAAGAGGCCTTGCATCTGTTCAGGAGACTTTCCAAAATGTTGCCTTCTAAATGTCCTGCATTAAACTAAGTCTTCCATAAATCTTGACATGTCTTGATGTCAAATCTTCAACAGCAAAGGATAATGTCGGTATTGACAACATGGAACACATCTTTTTTTTTAATTGGAACTGAACAACAAACAGCTGCTCTTGTGTATCTGTTATTAACTGGGGAAGAAAGGAATGAAGAAGAAAGAAAAGAAGCCTATATGAAAAGCTGGAAGGAGACTGATAGATATTTCCAAGTTGTGCTGAGAGAGAAAGAGCTAAGAGAACTATAAGGCCAGAACTAAGTCCTGCTAAAAAGATGTACAGGAAGAAATCACTTAAAGCAGTGTTTCTCAACCTTAGCAACTTTAAGATATGTGGACTTCAACTGGGGAATTCTGGGAATTGAAGTTGACATATCTTAAAGTTGCCAAGGTTGAGGAACACTGTCTTAAAGGATCAAGAAGCAGTTCAGCCAATGGAAACCATTTCTGAATCACAGTGAATGACGTGTACTTTCCCCTTTCAATCACTTGTTTCTTGACTAGAATATGCATACTGTCTAATGTTCACTCATTAGGCTTAATAAGCCTTTAGTTTCTAGAAAAACAAGTTCTTTGCATTTTCAGAGCAGAGTGGTATTTCTCTATAGTAAACAGACGCTCTGGTGGTAGGACCAGGTCTTGGCCGTAGCTGTGTTGGTGCCTCAATGTGGGGCCAGGAGTGCAATCTTCTCATTTTCCTTCCTCCCTCCCTTCTTTCTCAGGTGTAAAAGAACATGTGTATGGTACTACTGATGGAACAGTGTAAGGATACCTTATCCTGGTGACAAATTGCCATGTATTCCATCTCTTCCCTATCCTCTCCCATTCTCCTTCCCTGACATTTTTTTTCCCTAATATCCTCATATGTTCCCAGTCTTCCTCAAATCTTTATTGCTGCTGAATTTTCTAGCTGTTACAAAGTGTAGGGGTTTTATTACTGTTTGCTTTGTTTTTTTTTTTTTTTTTAATGGAAGACTGTGGCAGGGTTCATGAGCCCAGAGCAGGGTAACATCCAAGACTGACTCTGGTAACAGCAGGATGGGGAGGCACTTTTGCTGCTTCTATATGCTTTCCATGCAAAAGTGACATTTTTATTGTGCATGTGTGCCTTTGAGTCAGAGTAGACTCCTGGTGTCTGCCTTGACAAACCCCTGCAGTCTTCTTGGCAAGGTTTTTTAGAAGTGGTTTCCACTGCCTCCTTCCTAGGGCTGAGAGAGAATGACTGGCCCAAAGTCACCCAGTTGGCTTCATGCCTCAGGCAGGACTGGAACTCACAGTCTCCTGGTTTTTAGCCTGGGGCCTTAACCATTACACCTACCACAAGCATAACCCCAATATCATCAGAAACCTCAGTTATTACCACAGCTGTTACTGCAACATTTTAAGCTCACCATTATGCATATGGAGCTCCCCCCCCCCAAACTAATGAATTAGTCCTCCTGCAACCCTAATGACTTGAGATTGAGACTCCTGGTTTGAGGAAAAGGCTTGAACATTTAACTGATCCTGAATCCAGAAAGCGACAACTCTCTTGACATGAACAAAACCTTGACACCCTTGATATGTTGACAAAGCAAAACATTTTTCACTCTGCTGCTCTGCACTGCTGTATAATATTATAGTATTAGTATAATATTAGTATAGTATGCCAGTTTGGTGTAGTGATTAAGGCATCAGACTAGAAGCTGGGGGACTGTGAGTTCTAGTCCTGCCTTAGGCACAAAGCCAGCTGGGTGACTCTGGGCCAGTCCTTCTCTCTCAGCCCTAGGAAGGAGGCAATGGCAAACCATTTCCAAAATCTTGCGAAGAAAACTGCAGGGACTTATTCAGACAATTGCCAGGAGTCAAGATCGACTTGAAGGCACCAAAAAAAAAAAGTATAGTATAGTATAGTATAGTATAGTACAGTACAGTACAGTACAGTACAGTACAGTACAGTAAAATAGCGTTAACCAGAGCTCAATACGGGACCACGCGATGAGCCCTGCACTACGCTATCCCATGCCACATCATGAGGGCTATACGAAATAGCCTCGAAGGAAATGCTCTCTCCCATTTTGCAAAGGTACCTTGAGCACCTCCTTCCCCGCCACGGCCAAAGCCAGGTGCCGGCTCTTCAGGCTGCATTCCACGTCCCGCGCGCGGGTCCCTGGCGGCACGTTCACCTCGACAAAGACCTCTTCCATGGTCTGGTACCAGCGGCCCCAGGGAGTAGCGCAGGGCACGAGCCCGCTCCGCTCCTCGAACGGCGCAGACATCCACCTGGCCGCCCAAGCCTGAAAGAGACGCATGCGCCCTTGCGCGGCTACCGCTCATCCGATCTCCTCGTCTATCCTCGGAGCGATTCCGGCAGGAACCGCGGGGGGCGAAGCCACAGCGTGCCATTCTTCCGCCAGCTTCCACGACACAGCCCATAGACCTAGAGTGGGGTCTGAGGGGGGGAGTCTTAGGCTGCGTGGTTATATCGTTTTACAACTGGCTGCAGGACAGCTTGCCATTTTTGGGTGGGGGCAGCTGGTTCAGGCTTCTACTTGTTATCACTCAAGGTGCTTTCGTTTTATTAATGAAAGGTCTTTAAGACCTGCAATATGACAGCCTGCCAAGAGCTACTGCAAGACAATACGGGGAACCAGGACTGAAAACAATAAAGCCCTGTGGTTATCCGCCACATACGGTAACTTTGTTTGCTCAGTGCTGCTAAAAGGAGCATAAGTAGAAACACGGGCCGCTTTAAAATAAAATCACATTTAATTGCTGCTGTTCACCTAGCACAGCAATACTTTGCGTGAAGAAAAGGATGCATCAGTATTATTATCACGTGCATTACTCTTGACCGAGAGATGTTTTGGAGTTCAGTTCCCATAATCATTCACTGGCCAGCAGATTGTGAGAACTGAAACGGGATTGATCTGGAAGTAAAAAGATATCAGGCTGGGGAAGCTTGCTCAATATATCCACAATCTAGTCGACATGTTTGGAACTGAATTCTGTGTGCCCAGTATAAAAGGTATTTGCATTTAACAACACGAAATATATTATTGAAAACCGGACAGTTTATACTTAAGAAGAAAAAAATAAGTAGGTTCTAAACTATGTTAAACGTTCATTTTTCTTCGCAACCTCAAGTTGACGATAATTTCCGTTCAGATTGCACTGCGCTCAGCATGAGGAAAGCCAAGAACTTTCCTCACTATTCCGACTTTCGCGATCTTCGTCTTATCTATCCGCCCACCTACAGCGCATGCTCCACGGCGGACCCCTGATTTGTAGACCAACTCGCCGGCCGAATTCTCCGATTGGCTGATTCGGGCGTTCCTTAAAGCGGGCGGGATGGTGTTCGATTTTTGAATTTGTTCTGTTCCTTCTGGGTGTGGGGGAGTTGCGGACTAGTTATGTCGTTTCCGAAGGCTCCGATCAGGCGCTTCAATGAGGCACCAAGTAAGTGAATGGGTGCTGGGCAATGCTGGGCTTGGTCTGGTTTTCCAGAGGCTGTCTTTCGTTCCTCCGAACGAAAAGGTCGTTGAAAATATCTTTTTCGAGCATGATGGAAAATTAGCGCGAGAACGTTACTTTACTGTATTTCTGTGCAAACTTAAACTTTCTTCAGAATAATTGTATATTGTATGGAGTTCCGTTCCTGAGACGTTTGGGGTATCATATCTTCACTTCCTCCCCCCCCCTCCCCCATGTAATAGGATAGCCTTCCCCAATCCAGAGCTTTCTTCTAATCAAGTGGATTATAATCCCCTTTATCGCCAGCCAGCATTACTATTGGCCTGCAGAGAAACAGGGTAGTAAAACATTGTTGGAAAAAAACATTAGAATTGCTTGGCTTACATGTAATATTCTAATGCACTAGGATAGAGCTACCTATCAACATAACTAGGTGAAAAAATTGAAAAAGGAGGTGTCTGCTTATCATATGCTAAACCATGGAAAAGTTTTCTTGAAACTGATTAAGAGTACCTCTATTTAGCATCCTCTTTTCATAGTGAACTGTTGCAAACCTCATGAACAAGGAGGAGATCAAACAGATTGTTACATCTGCTGGTGAGTCAGGAGAAAAAAAAATGCTGTTAGGTGAAAAACCTCTCACTAATGGAAGGAGCCTTTCAATAGGAGGTTTTTGGAACTCTAGAAGTGATGCAAAAATGGTTCCTGTTAGGTTCCCTCCAGTCCTCATGTAAACTAACTGATTAAGCAATGGAATTAAATGGGCAGATAAGAAAATGTAAAAATAGAAAGGTCTGATCCTGTTAAAAGAATCAAATAGTAACTGATAATGAAAGACCCAGTTAGAAATCTAGGGAGGTAAAAGGTAGTCTTGTGTGAGCTGAGCTTAACTCCTAATGACTTCATGGAGGAGTTCAATTTGTTTTCTTGGCAACATTGTAGAAGTGGTTTGCCACTGCATTCTGGGATGTTTTCTGACTTCTCAGCCCTGATATTCCTTGCAGGTTTCCTACTCAAGTTGTTACCATACCTAACCCTGCTTAGTTCCGAGCCCAGATAAGGTCAGAACTAGATTTTAGGGAGTTTCCTGTTGCTTTAATATCACTAATCTCATCCAATCCAATAGAAGCCATGGCAGTTATGCAATCACATTCCAGAAGCCTGTACCAATGCTAGTTGGAATGTCAGCTCTAGAAATACCTTGTATTCTAATTGAATTCAAGATTGCTAATGAAATAAATCTTCAAAATAACTGACCTGTGCTGAAGGAAGAAATCAGGGTTCCAAATAATCTGGGAAATCTCAGTTATGGGCATTGTTAGATTGAGGGGTGGCATATCACTCTCTCTCCGTCAAGGCTGGTGGCATTTCCCCCTCTCTGAGGCATTAATCACTCCCTGAATTAGCCACACATGCCAGCCTTCAGCCACCCAGCTTCAACATAGATCCAGCCTGCTGGTAACAGAGGTCATGTTACAGAGGATCCTATTCTCTTTCTTGGGGTCATGAAATCAAAAGAATCCCAGATCACATTGAAAGATGTTACCCCATTCAAGTTGCTATGAGCGACTTTATCTGCAAAGAATTTCACAAAGATGACACAGTAACCTATAACACTGTCCTGCCCTTTCTTCTCCAATAACATACACATTACCCTGAACAGTCAAAAGTCTGAAGATGCAATAAGAGCAGAGAAGTACACATTTTGCTACACTTATCACCATAGTATACCCAAACATGGTTATGTACGTAGACTTAGCCATATTCACTCCTGGTCTTCCAATATAATCTCTTCAGTTGTTTGGTCTACCAAAGCTATTTGATAAGCCAGGAGTCCCCCAGGATCAGAGACTAGAGACAGGATCAGTCAAGGCCAATCTCATCAAGTGCACTGGTCGTCTCTATTATCCAGAGATCAACCAGGTATGAGATAAATTTGCCTAGCAGATCACTGGGGAAAAAAAGGCATAAAAGAGGGTTTGTACTCAAGGTATGTCTATATACAGTAGTTTTCTTCTGAAGAATTGATGTAGACTTTGTATATTAAACTTTCTAATTCTTTTATATCTTGATGACCTTAAAGTACATATTTATGAATCACTGAGATTAAAACATATATAATGTAAACTTTACAAAATCAATTTTTACAGTCTTCAAAAACAGCCTCATTTCAGTTTGTGCTACTGTACATACAAACACTAACTAACTTGCAAGGTGTACATACTTGCCATATTGTATGCACACATGCAAGGTTTACAAACTTGCCGTATTTTTATGTACATGGAAAAGAGGGGCTTATCTTCTACACATTTATGCCATAAATTATTTTTGTCCTTATCAGCTACAGATAATTTTTCGAAGGCAGAAACACATGACAGCCTATTGGGAAGGCAACCTCTGTCTATCTTTCTGCTATGTATGAAAAGTAGTGTTTTATGATTTGTGTCAGCAGAGATCGTGCTGTTCAGTTGTCTGCTACACTTCATTTCATTGTGGAAAAACACCTCTACCCCCCATTCGTTACTGTGTGGAAATGGCAGGAATACCTCTTCAATTACGGTTGCTACCCTCCATGTCCATTTAAAAAAAGAAAAAAGAAAAAAACCTTCACCAGTGGAACTTACTCTTTTTTTAACAAGTTTGCTGATAGAACAGTGAAACAATGGGGCTGTCTAATTTTATTTATGTTTGCAAGTTCACTGATGGAACAATGAAAGGACTACCTACTTCCTATTTTTGTTTTTTTCTTTTTTAAACCAGATGAAATTGACAAGAGTTCCTCGACTTTCCCCTTTTATCCCAACCAGCAGGGAAAATGATAAAACTTAATTTTAATAATGGCTCCCTGGTGGGTTATATGAATCTAAAAGAGTACAAATATAATGCACAGTCATGCGTGTTAATAGTTGTCAGCATGCAAATACCAATGGGCTGTGTGCAACAAACAAAGTGTGTTTTGTTTCCAACTGGAAGCCTAACATCACATCTGGAACAGTCCTTTGAAACATTAAGCATTCCCCCACCATGGTAACACAAGCGGAAAACAACAAGAACAATATATTCTCTTCTTTTCACTCCATGATCACAAAAACAGATAGGATAGCTATTTATATCGAGTGCTCTTTGAAAGCTACTTTGCAGAAAAAGTGGCAGGAAAAAAAACCCCCAAATACCTCTTTTTAAAAAATTCCCATTATATAAGCATTTGTTTCAGCTTCCTAGGCTGTCTGTTCTGAATTCAAGTGCAAGTTGAATTTGCCCTAGGGAGGAAGGATGGCAAGCAGAGCTTCCCAGGGTTGGCTATCCCACCTTTATTATTTTTATAAAAAAACTCAAGGCAGCAAACATACCTAATATTCCTTCCTCCTCCTATTTTCCCCACAGCAACAACCTTGTGAGGTGAGTTGGACTGAGACAGAGTGACTGGCCTAAAATCACCCAGCTGTTTTTTCATGCCTTTCTCTTAATCTCCCTCAAACACAGACTTTTCTCTTATACACATTTCCAAATCAATTACGTCCTCCCAGGAAGAAGGATATGCTGGCAGAAAATGAACCCCAGTCAGTCCATTAATACAGATGGGATTTCTTTTTAAATTCTTTTAAAGTACAGTAATTCTCTTAATCTAGGTTAAGTTTGTCTAAACCTACTTTTGCAGATTGTCAGAAACATGGACTGCCTCTTTCCATGTCAGTAATGTATTTAAAGGTTCATCTGCAGATTTACCTTCTGTTCCCACCTTCTCCCCCCACCCCCCGGACTATTTTTGGCAGCCTGGGTAACAAAAACAAGGCACTCCCCCAAAGTGTCTGCAGAGGCGGGCGCTCAAAATATCCAGTGCTCAGCCGACTGAACCAAAGCAAGACATCAGCACAGCAAACATGTGGGGACAGAATACCACCTTGATGATATATGTGTTTGCCCTTCTTTCTGAGTAATCATTGGAGACTTCCCCAAATTGAGAATTTCTTCAAAATCCCCTAACAAAGTTTCAAATAAATTTTCCCCAGCTGTATTCTTCCCAAATAGCCCATGGTAGATCATTCAAAAAGAGAATGTACTCTTTTCTTTAAAATCAGTGCCAATTACATCAAGGTCTCAAATTACATTTTTTGGAACAGATGAGTTTACCTTCTCAATCCATGATGTGGGCATTTCATTAAGAGTTCATAAATATGCAGAGGTACCTTCTACATTTAGTGGAACCATGAAATCAGGAAAAAAAAATAAACTCAAAATGTATACATTTAAGTTAAATATCATTTTAATTGATTATTTAAAAAAACAAAAAACAAAACTTATTTTAATTGGGGCTCTGACTTTGATTAATATTCATTCCCTATCCACCTCTCTAGCTTGTGCCCCACCACCAGGCTCTTACGATATCAAAACTTCAGACCCATCAAAAGGACCTGTGTCTTTTGAAAAGTCTCAGCGATTTAAGATGCAAATGGGTAAGTAATTGGGTTATGAATAGCACTGGTTTGCAAAGTTTCTTCAGCAGCTTCTTGCTTGCGTGTATGGTTGCTTCTTTAATGCTAAGCATGTGTCTGGAGGGCCTGTTTCTAACTTTTACTGCAGTTTGATCATGTGTAGAGCCTGGATGTTGAATAACTTTATTCATTGGGATATCTCCTGATTTATGTCCTCTATAACAACTTGAGAACAACGTTCAGCAAACGTAGCAGAGTTTATTTCCTAGAAAATTCACACAGGACTGTGCAGTGAGTAACAAACTAAGGCTCAGTGCAGAATCTAACTGAGTCAATCGGCAACCTTACTCAAGATCATTGTTTCTTAACCTCAAGTTTGCTGGTCTATGACCGAATAAAAATTGATTGATTGATTCTACTTTATCTCTCGAGATTAATCAGATTCATCCACCGCTAGTTGACAACCCTGGCAGTGAGATAATATGAAAATAACAAAATTCAAATTGCACTATGTAGAGATATGGGGCGTATCTAATTTTTTCTTTAAAAAATAACTCGTATGGCATACTGAACATCTATTTTCAGTTTGAAATTGCTGAAATAACTGTTAAGAATGTTAACAAATTACTCCTGCTTATCTTATACAAACTGGATTTTAATCAGATGTTTAAAGGATTGCTTCTGTTTGACAATGCTACTTTTAAATATACACTAAAAAAATTACATTTTGATTTTACTGTAAATGTAATCAACTAATCTTGGCTTACTAAACTAAGTCTTGCAAAAATGTGTGTATGTTTCCCTTGTCTAATTCCTGCATTTTTATTGTGTCAGCTCACATTTAACACACTTTTGAATGTAAAAGGCTGCATACAGATATAAAATGCATTTTAAAAGTTAAAATATTATACCATAGTCTCTCCTCTAAAGCAAAGCAGTCTCATTGGTCATTTTAGCTGTAAGGCTCTAAATAGCTTAAGAAAAAGGAATCCTATATATACTGGAACCATGCATTTAACATTTGGGATTTCTGTAATGTCTATTAATCTCATTATAAAACTGTAATATGCTTACATTTGGCATATAGGTTTCCATGGAGCACAGAAAGGGGGGCAAATGATTAATGTGATGACATTGCCCTGTGTCACCAAGTGGAATTTGTTACATGCGCCACCAGTTTGGAACCTAAAAATTGGATGTAAAATAGATAATGTGCCAGATTTTCTTCATAGAGTGCCTCCATCTTCCAGTGTTTCAGTGTTAATAGCTTTGAAATGTATTTGGGGGAAATTACAGTCTTTAGGATGGAGAATGAAACCTCTTATATTATATTTTTGTAGCGGATGTAGGAGTTCAGCCAAATCCAAGCAACATGAAACCTATGCCTTCCCCAGCAACTACAAGAAAACTTCCATCTCTTGGTTCAAGAGTAAGAATCACATTACACCTCTTTCATGTGCCATTAGCATTATTTTGTAGAGAGTGAGAAGTCATTTGTCTCTAAATAGGAGTTTGTAACTTACAGTAGAACATGTAATATCTAAATGTTAAGCAAGCTGCTGGTCACATTAAGGAAGACAGAATTTGGCATTGTAATAATTGTGACAGTGACAATTGTTTTATGGAGATGGGGGGAAATTTCCAGACCCCACATTTTAAACTGAATAGCTTAAAATGTGCTGAACTATTTTTCAAAGAATTTTCGCCAAATGTCATTAAATATCCCTGTGAATAGGCATCTAGGTTATGGTTTCCCAGCAATTAGTGTATTTCTCAGCTCGGTGGCTGTTCAACCTGCATTTATACTTTTAAAAGTTGTTCTCATAAAAAGTGAAACCAAAATTTCAGTTTCTAGCTTCCAGTAACCTTATGAAGCAAACCTGCATAGTTCTAACCTTGTTTCTGTATTTCTTGAATTTACAGCCACACAGCACAGGAATAAAGTCTGACAAGGATCTGACTGCCATTAAAGAATCGAAAAAGCAAAAGGAGCTGGAAAAGGAGGTATGAATCAACATCATTTTAAGTTTGATATGCAGTCAACATTCTAGTTGTTGACATATCTAAATCAATAAGCCAGCTCTGCAAAGCAGGCTTCTAGGTTTTTGTCTTCTCAGTTCAGCTGTATGTTTTTATCTTGCATGGCAGCGGTTCTTGAACTGTTTGATCCAATTACCCCTTTTTCTGGTTTTGAATAATGTCATTACCCCCACAAAAAAACCCAGTTTTATACAAGTGACTCAGTGGTAGTTCCAAACTGGATCCTCAGCTCATGAACAAGCAATTACAAATTGTTCCATTACCCCCAGGATACTGGTAGTCCTCAGTGGCACTGAAAAAATGGTGGTTACGACCAGTCCTTGGAATTCTGACCATCCCAGCACCCCCACAGTCATGTGATTGTGATCTAGGCAATTGGCAACCCATTCACACTTATGACCAGTTGCCAAGCGCCCCGTGATCATGTGGTTGCCATTTGAAACCTTCTGTGTTGGTTTCCCAAGAAAGTCAGTGGGGAAGCTGGCAGGGAAGGTTGCAAGTCGCTGGGGCAAGTCTCCCCCACCCATGCACCCTTCTGCATCTGTCTGCTTTTGTGCTGGCTACTCATGCACCTGGCCTGTGCAGTGCCTCTCGTATGCACCCTCCCCAACCTGCACATCCTTCCAAACCCTCCCCCACCCCCTCACTCCCTCCCACACCTGGCAGCAGCCACTTACCTGTCTGTGAGCCTGGGAATTGCAACTTCCTGCTGGCTCCCCCACTGACTTTAGTTGTGGGAAGCTGGCAGGAAGTTGCCCCACCTTATGACCATGGGATTCAGTTAACAACAGCAACTGGGACTGCAGGGATGGCCATCGCTAAGTGATGTGGTCGCGCTTTATGACTGCATCACTTAGCAACAGAAATTCCAGTCCCAATTGCCTTTGTAAGTTGAGGACTACCTGTATGCCCAAATTATCCTTGGGGGTAATTACCTCCAGTTTAAGAACCACTGTTGTATGCTGACTAGAGATGTTATGAGTTGGGTAGCCTACAAATTTAATAAATAAATTGAGTATCAGTAAAATATCATTTTTTTCAGATATTTGATGGAGGGACTGTCTGATTACTGATCTTTGTAAACTAGTCCCTGGTTGAAGAGCATGTTATAAATGCTTTAATTTACATCCTAAACTCTGTAAGAGTAGACTACCTACTTTCTTTTGGTTGTTTAATTTAACCTGTGTTTTGTGATTTAAGTTTTGTAACCATCCTGAAATCATTGATAGAAGGCAGTGCATATTAGAAATAAATATATGGTTGCTTCCCTCAGTGGGCAAGTAAGGAATGGAACATTTCAGTCCAATGGTTTTATTTTAGGAACAAGTTTATATGTATTTTGCCAAAATATATAGAGGGCTGGACTTCCCTTCTGTCAAATGTTTTAGTTAATTTCATCCTGTTTGGATAGATTCGGATACTAATTGGAGAACGTGGCCAGCAAGGTAAAAGATTGCAAGTCCTGGAGGAAGATCTTATCAAGTCTGAATCAAAGCTGTCTGCTGCAGTTCGGGAGAAAAACACTCTTTTGGCAAATGTTGCTTCTCTGGAAAAACAGCTTCTGGAGTTGAGAAAAAGCAATGACTTGCTCAAAACAAAGGTGCATATAGATCTCTATAAAGGCATTATAACAGCTTGTTGTGGGGGGGAGTGTAATGATGAGCTCCAGAATTTATGGGTGGAAGATAAAAAGCAATGTAGGACAAGTACATAATGATCACTGTTCTTTTAAGGTAGATGTTTTATACAGGTAATCCTTGCTTAATGACAGCCACGTTTAGCAACTGTTTGAAGTTACAATGGCGCTGAAAAAGTAACTTTACGACCAGTCCTTGCACTTATGACTGTTGCAGCCTCCCCATGGTCACATGATCAAGATTCGGGGGCTTCGCAACATGTGGGCATTTACAACCGTCACAGTGTCTCGCAGTCACTTGATTGCCATTTGTGCACTTCACAGCCAGCTTCTAACAAGCAGAGTCAATGGAGAAGTCAGCAGTAAAACTGCAAGTTGCGGTCACGTGATGTCTTGCTTAATGACTGCAGCAGATTAGCTTAACTATCACAGTGAAAGTGAGGTTGTAAATCCATTGCAGTCATTTGATGTCTTGCTTAATGACCGTGTTGATTAGTGACAGATTTGCCAATCTCAATCACGGCGGGTAAGTGAGGACTACCTGTACATTTAAAATACAAATGCGATACAGATAGTCTTCAAGTTACGACCATTCATTCAGCGACCGTTCGAAGTTATAACATTGCTGAACGAAGGGACTTATGACTGGTCCTTGAAGTTCCAGCTATTGCAACACCCCCATGTTCATGTGAACAAAATTTGGGTGCCTGGCAACCGGCTCGCACTTAAGACCAGTTGCAGCGTCCCGTGGCCATGTGATTGCCATTTGCAACCTTCCCTGCTGGCTTCCCCCAAGCAAAGTCAATGGGAAGAAAGCAAGAAAGGTTGCAAGTCATGGTATAAGTCTTCTGCCCCCCAGCCTTTCTTCGCTTGCATGCACCACACCCTCCTTCATACCCTGTGTCCTCTTTCCCCAGCCTCCCTGTGCTTGCACGCACGTATGCATGCACCCAATGTCCTCTTTTCATGGCCTCTCTGCAACTGCATGCACCCTGCACCCTCTTTCCTCAGCTTCCCTGCACTTGCATGCACACACCCCCAGGCTCTCTTTCCTTGGCTTCCCTATGATTGCACGCACACATGTGTGTATCCTGTGCCCTCTTTCCACGGCCTTCCTGTGATCGCACCCACCCTGCACCCTCTTTCCTCAGCCACCCTGCACTCATGCACATGCACACACACTCATGCCCTCTTTCCTTGCCCTCCCTGTGATTGCACACACGTGCACGTATCTCATGCCCTCTTTCCACGGCCTTTCTGCGATTGCATGTACCCTGCACCCTCTTTCCTTGTGCATACCTCATGCCCTTATTCTTCATCCTTTCTGAATTTGCGCTGCACTGAGTATCCCTTCCCCCAATTTGTGCATTGCCTTTGCCAGGCCTCCCAGGGTCTCCCCCACCCCCTGAGGCACCCCGGCACTCCTTACCTGGGACCCCTTCACTTCCCACTTAATGACCTGCATGCGTTGGGTTATGACAATGACCAGGACTGCCTGGATTGCTGTCACTAAGCAATGTTGTCACGTGACATTGCACTTTACGACCGCATTGCTTAGTGATGGCAATCCTGGTCCCAATTGCAGTGATAATTTGAGGACTACTTGTATTCATTTCTTCTCCAAGAACATTTTGGTGGTAATGCTGTGTAGCAAATTTCTGCATTGTTTTGTAGCAATTAATATTCAGTTTCATGAAAGAGAATTTGTTTTCAAAATTTTCTTTCAAAGAAAAGAGCAGTTCACTGAAATGTTAGGACAAGTGTGGTTTTCTTGTACTTCATATCGTTTGAGGTAGCCAAGGAATTTGTAGGACTGCCTTCTTTCTTTTTTGTGCCATAACATCTCCAGCAGTCTGGAGTTTTCCTGGCTTTCCATAGCTTCAAGAGGAGACATCATGCAGGAACTCATCCTATTGAACTTGTTTCAGACTGTGCAAGTAGCCGAGGAAACTTCAGAGCGGTGGAAAAATTTAGAGCAGAAAACATTGTCAGTTGTAGTTCAGCGATAAAGTAAAAACCACAAGAGAAATCAGAAAGAAGTGTTCAAGCCCTAGGCACAAAATGTTTGCAAAGCAGATTTCAGCACGTGATTTAGTGGCACTACTGTATGTGTAGTGATTATTCATCCAAGCAATGGCAAACGTATGGCGTGTACTCAAACAAAAAAGCCCCACGCATAGTGCGTGTTTCCCTTTTGGTTCTAGTTGAATTTAAAGGAAAGGTTTTTACAGGATGCCACACTGACATCTGGTGTAGCATCTTCATGAAATATTGATATCACTTAAGTAGATTCTTCCAACCGAGAATCAAGAACACGTTTAAGACTATATTTGGGGACAAGTGTCACTGAACACTCTGGGACTTCTGAGCTTGGCATGGGATTATCCTCTCCCACTGGAATCAGATACGTCAAAGTCATGTTTTTTGTAAGTCTCCTAGGTAGTTTCTGGAGTAGCCTATGTCGAATTTAATAATAAAACTAACTTGCTTTGCCTTCTGTCATTTTAAGTGTTTTGAAGATGGAACCCAGAAGAAAATGCACAGTCTCTATTTGGAATTAATGAAGCTTAGGAACAAAATGAACTCAAAAAAGGTATGTTACCTGACCGATGTGGATTACACTTTCTCTCTTAAAAAAATTGTAAGTATCACAAGTTCATGATAATATACTGTATTAGACCTACAGTTTTCCCTAATGAATATGAGTTAGAGGAACTACTATTAGTTATGTTATTCTATTTTCATATCTTTTTCCTGGCTTAAAGAAAGTTTAGGACAGTCATAGTCCTTCACATGGTGAGCCGTTCTATAATGTTTGTTGATACAATTTCAGATGGATCCTATTAAAAAGGAAGACATGGAAATTCAACTAAATGTAATCCAAGGAACTGTGGACGAAAAAGTAGCCCACCCTGAAGAACTGTAAGTTATCTCATGAATTGTTAAGCACCAACTGTTTTTATTAACTTCACTGAAATGTAGTTTCGTAATAACATATTTGGAGTTTAGTATCATCAGTATGCTGTTGATACCCAGCTTTACATCTCTATCCTGGGCTGCGCAAGTGAAGCTGTTGAAATACTGACCCAGTGTCTGGAGGATGTTTGGGGCTGGACTGGGAGGAACAGGCTTTGACTCAATCCTGGCAAGACTTAGTGGCTATGGCTGTTTGCACCACCCACCCCCCTCACAACACCCTGCCTTGGGTCAGGGACATCACCATCATTGGTCTTGGATGGGATTACACTTCCCCATTCAAGACTGGTGCACAACTTGGGGGTTCTCCTGGACTCAAAGCTACTGCTTGAAGAGCAGGTGGCAGCTGTGGCCAGGAGGCCCTTTGCACAAGTACATCTTATGCACCACTTGCACCCTTTCCTCAACTGGGAGGTCCTGCAGATAGTCATTCATGCCCTGGTGACCTCACAATTGGACTACTGCAATGCACTCTACATGGTGCTACCTTTGAAGACCATTTGGAGGCTACAGCTGGTTCAAAATGCAGTGGTGTGAGCAGTAATGGGCACTTCTCTTGGTACCCATTTGTCACCTCTGCTACATGAGCTACATTGACTGCCAGTTGGCTTCCTGGTGCAATTCAAAGTGCTGGTTGTTAATTTAAAGTCCATCATGGCATAGGACCTGGTTACCTGAGGGACAGCCTTTCTGCCATTATTTCTGCCTGCCCACTACATTACAGCAAAGGAAGTATGCGCCACATTCCTTCTATTAAATGTTGCCATCTTGTGGAACCTAGGAAGTATGCCTTCTCTGTCATGGTCCTCACCCTCTGCAACAGCAACCCCCCGAGATAAGGACTGCGCCCTCTCTCCTAGGGTTCCGAAAAGCCCTTAAAACCTAGCTTTGGTCCCAGGCCTGCAGTTAATGCATTTTGGGGAGGGGGGGGCTGTCATGTGTTGTTTAAAAGGTTGCTTTTAGTCTGTTTTTAACTGTTCTAATTTAGTATTATAGTTTGTAAGCTGTCCATTGTCTGCTGGAGTGGGTAGCTATATTAAATTTAATGAAATAAATTAAGGAAGTCTTGAAAGACATGGATAGACAAGCTGCCATTATTTTCTGAAACTTTATTTTAAAGAAACATGAGATGTAAATTAAATTATCCGTTTTGCCAACTTGAGACTTGGAAAATGTTTTGTCCTGTTTTCTGAAGATTAATACTCTGTGATCAAACTTTATTTCAGAACAGAAACAGAGAAGCCAATTGAAGGGAAATATGACTCAGAGAAACTCCTGGAATATATAGTAGAACTTGGGTAAGTGAAGTATGCATATGAAATCCTAATTTTGGACAAGCCATGTTGTATAAAGATCATGGGGCTTGTTTTCTATCCATTAGTAGAAATATATGTAAATATTCATTTGTCTAGACTTGCTAAACCAATGAAGATTACAGATAGGCACATTGCTTCCAAATCCTGATTTTCTCAAGCTACAGTTTTATACATGATAGATGAATCCCCAGTTCCCAACATGGCTATCCTAATACACTAATATGGTCTATGGGACCCAGGGCTGGATGTAACAAATATTTTCAATTAATATTGGTGACTGGCAGAAGATACTTGCTAGCTAACTGTTCAATTTTAAACTAGTATGGTGGAGAGAAATTAAATTGGTATTGTTGGATAGGCATGTAAAAAACAACCAAGACATTCATTCACAACATTTTGCCCTTCAAAGAAATAATTTGTATAAAAGCTACATGTACAGTATGTTGAACACCCTAAGGACAGCAGCAAAACCAAACTCTGATTGAAGTGACTATTTTAGTTCTTTATTGCTCAAAATGGCTTCTGCAGAAATTCAGAACAGAAAACCTATCCATCTATCTGTCTGTTTTTAATGATTAATACCTTATGGGAATTACCAAATATATCAGTGTTCTCACGTGAAATCTTGTAAGGCTGTGAAACCATTAAATTCAAAATAACATAAGATAGGACCTTAAAGGTGACATCACTGATTTTGACCATTTTAACTTATTTTTGAAAAATTATTTTTGGTGCCTGTGAGATTGTTCTCTGATGCTTGATGCCAAAGAAGGTTAGAAACACTTGTCCTACTGCGTACAATTCAGCTAAAGATTTAATGAAAATATTGGCTAGGAATAGCTTGTCAGATATAATCTAAACTTCAACTGCAAGCAAAAAAGCTGGGGTATTTTTGGGAAGAGATTATTTTAACAGAGATACAAAAAATAAGATTCCCCCCCCCATAAATTTGTATATCATATAGAAGAAGATGAACTGAAATATACTACTTTTGCTAACCAAATTATTGTAAAAAACAATGACAAAACTAGTATGATTTTTTTCTTTCTAACAGCAATGTTGCAGAACAAGTTGATGATAAATACAAGCTCCATATTGTCAAATTAGAGGAAATAATAGAATCCAAGAACAAGGACATTGAAACATTGGAAAGTACTCTTCGTCTGAAAGAAACTATGGTATCTACACAAACTGAAGAACTGAATCAAAAGTGCAAGATACTTGAAGAGCAGAAAGGTAACTCCAGTAATGTTGTGGTTTGGATAGATATTACTCTGTCAGAAGATAACATTCATTTGTTAGCATTCTGAAAAATATTTCTAAGCTTGGCTGAGAAATATTTTCTTCCTGCCCATCATGACAAATAAAATAATTTGTCTGCCAAGTCAGAACTTCCTATCAATTGATGAAAGAAATAATAGATGGCAATGTCTAAGCTCTAGCCCAAACACTACCTTTAGATCAATACCATTCTTCTTTAACTGGGTTGCACACTAATATAGATCATAACAGGAATATATGTCAAAGGATTTTCTTATGTTGACTTCAGCGTTGTTTCATCTCAAATTTATGTGCAGTGGGCTGGTTTCTATCCTAACTTGAACCTCAGAAAGGGATTTAAGGAAAATTTGGCTTGATGTGCTTTTGAATATATTAAGCAGCATGTGGTTAGGCACCTTAAAATACTATTCAAGAACATTGACAGGTTATACTACCTTGACCTGATGAGCTTTTATCATGTTACATTGATAATCTCACAGAGAGGGCATGCTCCGGACCCCCTCGACAAAAGAACTCCCACTAGCGGGGTCCAGAAGGCGGCCCTTCTCTGGTGTAGCCCCCGCCCTTTGGAACATCTTGCCCCCGGAGGTGAGACAGGCCCCCTCACTCCCGGCCTTGTGGAGGGATTTGAAGTCCTGGCTCTGCCATCTGGCCTGGGGCCGGGAGGGAGGTTGTCAGAAATGGGGTTGACTAGCCCCCTAGAAGGCCTAGTGTGGCTTCCATGAGCCTCTTGGATTTTTTTCTCTTCTTTCCATCTGTGTAGATGCGTTTGTCTTTTTATAAATTTTAATCATATATTTATTGTTTTAACTTGATGTAAACCGCCCAAAGCCCCCCATTGTGGGGAGATGGGCGGGGATAAGTCAATGTATAAATAAAATAAAAATAAATAAATAATGCCTCATTAGTCAATGAAATGGGATCTCTATTGATTTCCCAAGGGAATCACATCACCAACATGCATGCATGGTTATGCTTTCAGTCTTCTAACTCTAAAGATGGGAATCCATTAGCCTTTCCATGAATGTTATATATTGGTTACTAAATATTTGTTCTCTCTATGGGCTCCATTTAGCATTGCATCAACTTTCCTCCTGCCTTCATCCTTCTATAATAGGTTAGAGAAAAGGAGAATGTAAAAAGGAGAGGGAACCTAATTTGCCAGAATTGGTATTCCACACGCAGATGGAACTACTGGAAACTTTATGCATATAATCTCCACTCTAATCAGGACAGAGCTAAATAAATGCTTTATTTTGTTCACATCTAACAGTTACAGAAAAAAAGAAGAAAAAATCTGTCAAGAAGCTGTGCTAAGAAATGGACACTTTTTGCCTTTAATAGTCTGATCTTAAAAAAATGTAAAGAGAGTGCTGTAAAAATTGTTGTTTTGATCAATCCCAGCAGCTTGAATAGAAAATGTTCAAACATTTACTGGCATTTTTGAGAACAAAAATAATTAAAAACACATTCTGGAAATAGCTTTTGCTCTTTCACTTGCATTTCTAAGAAATAAGTGAGGCTTGAAAGCTGCTAGGTGTTCCATGGGCTCTAATAATATGTTATTATGAAACAGTTTATGCGGAGAAACTTAAGCTGTCAAGTTTTCCTGTAGTAGTAAAAATAATCAAGGAATCTCAAAAATATATGAAAAAAGTTAATAGAACAATAGATAGAATGTATATCTATATATGAGTTCTTACGTAAAAAGCAAAGTTCTCATTTAGAGAAATGCTTCCGTGAATATGGAGAAAAGGAGCAAGTTATGACTGCTGAGATACAAAGCCTAAAAGAAAAATTATCTACAGAAGAGCAGGAACACCAAAAGCAGAAGAAGATTATTAAGGTAAAAAGATTAGATAACTAAAGGTTTGCTGTAACTAAAGGTTTATACATTTAGAAGTGTATAAAAAAAAAGTGTATAAAATTCAGTATGTACTGAGCATCCCCTGTGTGCTTCCCAGTTCTTCCCCCTCATGTTCTATCAGGACCTGGATGAAGACCTCCCCTGGTCCGATTGGCCTCTCATTGGCATTCGGTACCATCAACTATGGTATCCTTCTGGATTGTCTGCAAGGATTTGGAAGTGGAAGGTGTTGTTTTACAATGATTTTGCTCCCACCTGAATGAATGATGCCATTCTGTAGTTGAGCCCCTGACTCCTTTAGTGTGGGGTGCCACACGGAGCTTGGCTCTATCATTCATGTTGTTTAATATCTACATGAGATTTCTGGGAGAGGTCAATCAGTTTGGGGTGAAGAATCATCAATATGCTGATGATACTCAAGTATACATTTGGGAATGGTGTGGAGATCCTGATCAAGTGATTGGAGGCTATGAGGGGTTGGATAGGTCGAAACAAGCTCAAATCCCTGTAAGATGGAGTTGTTGCTTGTAGGTGATGGTTGAAATTTGATCCCAGTCCCTAAATTGGTTTGGGATGAAGTCATCCTCTTTTTGAAGGAGAAGGTTGCAAACTTGGGGATCTTTCTGGATTCATGAGTACTGCTTGAGCAGTTGGTGTGCCAGTTGTAGGTATTTCTGAATTAGGATAACCTTGTGATGGTGACTCATACTCTCCTGACCTCACAGTTAGACTATGGTAACATGCTTTAGATGGGGATGCCTGTGAAGATGACTCTGAAGCTGCAATAGGTTCAGAATGTAGCAGCCCAACTACTGACAGGTAGAAATATCTTAGCAATGTTACCTCTATGCTAATGTCTTTGTATTGGTTACCTGTATGATTCTGAACTCAATATAAGAAAGGTATTCAGCCTTTCATGGTTTGACATCAAGGTACTTGCAGGATCATCTCCCCTAATGAGAATCAGTCCATACTGCATGTTCATTCCAAGAAAAGCTATTCTGGGTCCCCATCTCATGTGTGGTAAAAAAAGTGAAAACCTTTCTGCGGCAGCCCCCCTTCTTATGGAATACCTTGATTTTGGGAGACCCCATCTGAACTATTCTTATCTTCTTCTCTGTAAATTAAAATGATATTAAATAGAAATGCTGTTATAAATATAAATGTAAAAAAATAAGTGAGAAGCTTGAGTAAATTGTCACAAGCGAAGGTTAGGTTCTTGCTTCCTGCCTTCTGTTAAATACTATGTTCTTCAGGTAGGAAAAAAAATTACCTGATTATTGACCACATTTCATTTGTATTTTTGTTGGCACCCATTTCAGGATGCTTCAGCTGATATGCATCAGAAGTTGCTTAAATTCCAAGAGGAGGTAGCTAAAGAGAGAGAGATTCTAGAGACAGAATTGAAAGAAGCCATGAATGAGTTGGATAAATTGCACACTAAAGAAGCTAAAGTTGAGAAGCTGTTAAAGCACTTGGAACAGGATAATGAATCCCAAACTGGGGAGTTATCACAGCTGGAAGCAAAACTGCAAAGGTTTGTAGAAAAGCTATTAAAACCATCTGTGTCAGTCAGCTAATAGGACAGGTGCTGCTGATAGAATGGATTTCCTTCTTCAAGCCTGTGTATTCTCAGATCTCTTCTGAATGTTCATAGTCCCTTTGGAGACAATCAGGGTATATGTGCTAAGAAGGAACATAATTTCCTGTTAAAGAAGCAGAAGTGTGGTCATGCACTAATGGATGGTGCCCTTAGTTCTCACAAATGGCAGATAATGTAGACCAGAAGTGCATGGTTTGAGGTCCCAGGTTTGCATGTGACATCTGTAAACTCCCCATGTCTCCCCAGAGACTCCAAAAGTTGTTATCAAAGTGTAATTTTTTTTATATGACAGGAAAAAAAATGAATAAATACATGAGCAAGGAATAGTCATATCAACTTTTTTGGTTTAAATTAAACAGAAGCAGATTTTTATTTAAAATTAAGGATGAGAATGGAAAGACCTTGTGCACCCTTTCCTACCCTTAATCCTCCTATCCCTGCCCAAAACTTTCAGGCTATTTCTGGAGTCTAAGAAGAGGAATTCCCAAAGGACTCCCATTCCTATCCATTTAAATATAAACTAAATTAAATCAAATTTGAAATTAGTCCTGACTCCCCCACACTCTGTTTGTAGTCTCCAGTTCAATCAGTAACTTTTGGAGCGCTAAAACAAATTAACTATTGAACATTATCACTTTGTGCAGGAAAAGTGCAGAGTTAGAAGAAATGGCTGAATCACACAAGAGTACCATTGAAAAGCTGCAAGGAGAACACAGCAAACTCCAGTGTAAACTTGGAGAGACCACCACTGAATTTGAAACGTATGTCAGTACCATGGCATGGAAGGGTTGGAAGGGTCCTACTTCTTTGGTATGTTGAACTTTCTCTTTTTTCCACGGTCATCTGTTTCAGAGTGACTATATATGAACAGAGGGATCAACATCTTGTACCGTGTTTCCTTGCTTTAGGTAGCAAAGATCCACTGAAATTAACAGGAACCCTTTTAAAATTAACAAGCTTTATTGTTCCTCTCTCTCAATACAACCTGTCAGCCATGAGCTTTGTGATAACCCCTTGTGTCAGGATGGTGGGTAAAACCTTAGCATAGAGGTTAAGAATCAACTTTTAAACTCAAAAAGAAATGCTAACCGTTAAAATCTTCCGTAGTTACAAAGTCTGCATGGCTGAAGAGATTACATGCCTGAAGCAAGACAAAGCTACTTTGCAAGATAAATTAACTGAGATGAGTAGAACAGTCCAGCATGTGACTCATGCAGTGCAAGAAGAACAGCATGCTAAAGATCAGGCAAAGGAAGATTATATGAGGTATGGACAGTTAGGAAATTTTGCCAAGTAGACTTGACCATGAACTTGGTGACTACTTGGTGCTTTGTGGCATTTGTAGAATCAGAGAATTGAAAGAGGCAGCCTAGCTCACCAAGTCCAACTCTCTACTTTATACAGGAATCCAAAGTAAAGTATCTATGACCATTGGGTACCCAGCCTCCTTTACACATTCAGTGAAGAGAGGCTCACACACCTCCCTTCTTAACTGGTTCTGTTGTCAAACTACTATGATTAGCACTTTCCCCCCAATATTTTGTTCTCTTGTATTTGTTCTGATTTCTGACTGCTTAGAATTATGTAGTTTCCATCAAAAGACCAGTTTATAGGAAGTTCTAATTTCTATCAATTTTGGTTTAGATTAGTTTAAGAGAGAATAAGCTATTTGGAGAAGAATTCTTGTCTTTTGACTAAACCAGAAAGAAGTTTGTATGTTGACTGGAAATTGTATAAAAGCATATATCTCCTTTCACCCCCAACTCTGCAGTATGTTGAATTATATACTGCTGAATTGATATCTACAATGATTTCAACAGCACAATCACATTTAGGCCAGCACAAGAGTAACAGATTTCAGACTGTAGGATTTGCTTTTATAGACAAACAAACAAACAAATCCCTAGGATTTAGATCCAACAAGATTGCATTCTAAAAGACATGACAAACATTTGGAATTAAACAATTTGTTTTGACCACCATACCGTAGTCTTTTTCTGCAAAGATAATTTTCCAGTACAGTGGTACCTCGGGATACGAACTTAATCCGTTCCATGACTCTGGTTGCAACTCGAG